GGAGAGGTTCTTTGGGGAACCTAAAATAGTTCTTCTATTGTATTCTATTGAAAAAAAAAACCTTGCTGGAACATTTATTTTTACCAGTGTAAAGCAACAGTTGAAACTGATTTGTAAAAAAAGAACCAACTAAAAAGCATAATTTGCTTGTAAATCGGACGACACAGGTTACACTATGTATAAGTTCTCAAATTGAATTAACAAGTTTGTTTATGGGCATAACTTAAAAATGTCCAGAAATGACACACTGCAAGTGTACCACAGGTTGCAAAAATGTTTCCTGTATTGCTTTTCAGCGGCAGTGTTACTCATGGGATGCTAAATTTAACAATCAAACGAAGAAACAAATTCTAGCAAATATAAAAACGCACTGCAGAAAATAAAAACTCAAAATGTAACTACTGCAGAAAAAAAAACTCATTGTTGAGCTCTGACAAATAAAATATAGTTTCTCTTTTGAACTTTCTGTTCGAAAAGGTTATGGACTTTTATGAGTGTTTTATGGTCAAGTAGAACCTATTTGATCACCCACAAGGATATGACTTTGTCATGGCCTCTCAAGACACTTTTCGACTGGGCTTTTCTCTGAAGAAGTCCTTGTAATCGAGCTGGATTTATCACAGGCCTCTATTAAATGCCCCAATTACTATAAGGGTGACAGCAGTGATTTTCCTATGATAGAAGGTCTGATGCTCGATTTCATTAGAGCGCCCCTCTCCATCCTCTTCAGTAACCCTGCAGGTGCCCTCGAAACTACCCCCCCCGCCCTACCACCCCTTAACTCTGGTTAGCGCACCCTCTCCACACAATGCCTACAAAACAAGAATTAAGTGCTCGAAAAGAAATTGATTCATAGCAACAGAAACGTGTCAAATGACCTTTCCAACGCTCATTACACATGGCGCGCATCATGCCGCAAGAATGTTCCCGTTCTTCGGACCTTTTGTCTCGCTCGCTCTTCTTCTCGCCACTCGGCCTTCTCCGGGGAAATGGTAATTAATTGAAATCATTTCCATGTGTAAGGTTGCCCAAGTCCCTCCTTACACTGTGTCAATGGGTCGATAGGTATTTGGAGCATACAGAGCACACAGGTGATAAGAACTCAAGTCACACTGTGTTAAATGATTGCCAAAGCAGCAAGTGAGAGAGAGAGGAAAAAAACGAATCAGATTCAAGGGCAGAGGAGTTTGCGGAGAGGGAACGAGGGATGAGGAAGAGGAGGGGGAGGTGAGCAGACTCTGTGGATGACATTCTGGCAGCAGGGGCTGATGGTCAGCACCCGCAAAATTGAAATATTTCAGGTGATTCAAGGCTGGCCACATTTCTCACTCCTTTTTCCTCTCGCTCACTCGCTTTCAATTATCAAAAGGTTGTCTGTGGGAATCAAACAGTCTCCTTGGGGGAGTTCATGCGTGCGTCTCGGCACTGTCCTCGGCGCTCAGAGCGCCTTCTCGAAGACGAGGGCCACTCATGTCCCGCCGCCTGCCAAAGAGCGCTGTATCTTTAAGAGGCCTGTTACATGCTGTTGATTAGTTTTGCTGAGTGGGTATGCAGAGACCAATAAATTAAATATGAATAAATTAAGAATGTACTGTAGCAGAAAATTGCTTGGAAAACAACCACCTCCCCATTAAAATATGTATAGTAATGCCTTTTATGTCTGGCGACGTGGGATTAGATATCACTGTAAATTAACACGCCATCCGACCGTAGTTGAGAACTTTTCACTTTTAACAAGGACTTATAAAAAAAGCATTTACTCTAGTGTGTTCGCTAATTAATTTGATATTCAAATGAGCTTATGTATTATAATTGCAAATATCCCAAATAAGAGCAGTTTTGGGGAAAAAAACGAGGGATAGTGTCAACAAAGATTGATGAAGCTTGCTTTGAAAATGCCATCTGTTTCGGATGTTTACTCGAGGCGGAGCGTTTCTCCTCTTAAGAAAGGCGTCTGCGGTTGTGTCAGCACCCAACACACCACACCGGCTCCGCTTTGCGTTGAAGGGGATCAGGGACATCAGCATGTGAGATGAGCTCCCGCCGATAACGTCCCTGCAACGTTGGTGTGACATTGTAGCCGCATTAGCTCATTACTACAATGTCATGGGCGACATGGTGAGGATGCTGTGCATTAGGAGGAACTCGACTGCAGGTATCAGGTCTCCGCAGATGAGCTGATTAATTAGGAGAAGCACCATTAAGGTTATTGAGTTGCGACTCCCTGTACGAGGAGATGCTGGGTCCGGCGTGGGTGGGAGACCGGAGGGGGGCACTTACAATCCCTTCTCCCTCTATTCCTCAACCTCAATTGACATTAGCACCTCCTGCACACCTGCAAACTCCTGGAGTCACACAGCGGGCCGCATCTCCGCATCCCTCGGTGCTTCTGACTCCAGGATCTAAAAGAGGCGACCGATTTTTAATTCCCCCTCTCCTCCTCCTCCCCTGTGCCCATCTGTCAGGCTACACTACTGCAGAGGAGGAGGAAGGCAAGCACCTTGTTCCAACTGGCCGCCTTTCTAATTTTCTGTCTCTACAGCTTGTCCCAAACAAACGCCCCTTTCTCAGCTGCCATGCTACCCTGCCTACTGCGCGCACACTGGCTTTTCGGAAGACAAGTTTGCGGGATAAAGATCTCCCCCAAAAAAATCTATTTTACAACAAACGGAATTGTGGATGTGCTGGCAAAGAGGAATGTGAAGATATCAGGGCCATTCCTCCAGCCGAACTCCAACCAAGTTTTTCTCTCGGTTTTTTAATCTACTAAATTTCTGCTCTCTTTCACTCTCTCCCCGAGGCCTACAGATGCACTCCTGTAATTTACTGCAGGTCACATTCCACCAGCACAATTCAATTTGAAGATTTCTCTCTCTGTCTCTCTCTCTCCCTCACTGATATAATGAATTAAAAGTCTGGCACAAGAAAATGAGGGCCATATGTTGAAATCCCATCCCTGCTACTGACAAGGCATTAGCTGTACAGGAGGTTCTCCAAACATGCCTTATGCAAATTCACTCCCCAGCCTTGAGGGGGTTGAGATTTTCTTAAAGCATATAAATCATTGTTATCTTCCCTTTTTTCCATCAATGGATCGGTTTGGCTAGTGGTAGTCGAAAGTCCATCTTGTTGTAGTACAATCGCTCAGATCGGGTTGTGGATATGATTCATTGTGTACGGGTAATAAACACTGTCATACACTATAATTATTTAATGGCTCAATCCATCAAAAGTGACCACGGCCAGACACGCAGGAAACTCGATACGGAGCTATTGTGATCCAACACTTGTCTCTGTTCCTAGCGTGACAGTGCTTCATGTTTTCTACAGCTCCATCCAGTGGTATCTCTCTGCTCAGAACGTTTAGAGTTATACAAGTCTGAGGCTGAACAATCACTGAGCTTAGTTCTGTATTATATGATAGTTCCAATCCACTTTGACTGGACGAGACAAGAGTGATGATATTTGGAACTGAAGTGTTTCACTGTTTGTGCCGTGCCTTTTGGGATTGCTACACAGAATTTCTGATTCTACTTTGGATTCTTTTGAAAATATTTATTTATTTAGATGGAGCAAATATGAACAAAAATGCTGGTCATATTGTGTCTGAAATAACACTTACTTTATATGAACTTACTTGATATAATCAAAAGTGATAGTAAATACATTTATAATGTTATAAAAGAGTTTAAAAAATCCAGGAAAGTGTACCTTGGTTTCCACAAAAATATTAAGCAGTAAAACTGTTCAACACTGATATTAAGAAATGTTTCTTGAGCACCAGATCATTATATTAGAATGATTTCAGAAGGATCATGTGAAGACTGAAGTAATGATGCTGAAAATTCTGCTTCAGTTTCCTACCATTACAGGAATAAAATAAATGTTAAAATATACTAAAATAGAAAAGTTTTTTAAAATTTTTATAATATTTCACATAATTACTGTTTCTTTTCATAAGGGATTTACTTCAAAAACTTTAAAAACATCTTACTAACACCAATTTCAATTTGTTCCAAAAGAAAAAAATTCCATTTACACAAACATGAGGAGTGATACAAACAGTAAACTGAGCCAGTGTTTGACCAATCTAATTAGTTATATTGCTTAAAGATTCCATACTAAGATCTAAATTATCTTCGTATCAACTACAGAGTTAGTTTTCCAGATAATATCTCATCCCTGATTGTCTATTGTTACATACACAGCTACCAAAGCGCAACATTATTTTTTGTTTCATAGCAACGTTCTGTTGAATCTTCTAGCACAAGTATGGCACTTCAAGAATGTGCTTAATAAAAAATATTAAACATATTAATGCACAAATAATGTACTGACCTTATAAAAACAACAACACGTTCAAGGCCTCATTCCTAACAAGGCCCTTTGGACTACATTCATAATAAAACAAGCTTTTCCTTGTTTTTACCCTGTTGCACCTAGTTGTACATTAATGCAGTCCATCACTTCTTCTAGCACTGTAAAAGGATAAAATTGAAAAGATAAATGAGTGCACACATAATAATACATTTAAAAGGGTTAAATGGATGGGGCCTTCAGTATTCTCCCTGAAATTCCCATGAACACAAACACACACTCGCATACATCCACATGCAAATAGGAGGATTGTAATACAGTCTGTGTGAGTTCTGCTTGACTATTTTAATATTGTATCCATCTTGGGGATTATTTTCTCTTCAGCAGAGAGACCAGTGCTGGAGTGCTGCAGTACTCACAATATACCCTGCTGCTCTCAACAAGATTAGAGACCCTGCACTTTGACTCCCAATCCTGCTCTCTTCATGGTGTCTAACCACTTGGCGCCCCACCGCTCAGTCATAGCATATGGCTAACATTAAATTTCCCTCGCCCCCCTGACTTATTTATTTGTGATGCAAGTGTTCTGTACGACTAACGTCAGTAGGAAAAATTCATTGGAAATGAATGGGTCACATATATTGTGTACACGAGTCACTGAAAGTCAAGATGACATGCTGTTGGATGGCTTCTTTTTAATGGATAACAAGTAAGAACTATTCATATACAACAGCTACCTGATGTGATTTGGCAAAATATGACCGGTGTGATTAGCACAACTGCAGAGGAAACAACAGATGTTCGTAAAATGAATAGACAGTTTTTACACATACTATTGTGGCATTTGATTTAGTCGAAAATGGTGAATAATTATGTTGTGTTTGAATATTGCATCAAATTACTCTGTTATTGCCTATTTATTATTGCAAAACACAGAGCAAAAGCTATTAAACCCTGTTATAGTCAATACATTCTTCACAGTCCTTCATGATGAAACATATGAACTTCCTTTACTCTCTAGAGAATAGCATTTCAATGTGCAAAGATGACTTATGCGCCTTATGTTAGATGCCATGAATAGGCGTGATGACTTCATCTGTTCCAGGTCCATAAAAATAAAGCAGCAACCAACCCCCAAAAAATCTAGTAGCTCATCCTCAAAAGAGGGGGCCTCTGTGTACTTCATAAAAAGTGACTATTAAGATCCATCCTACTAAGGAGACTAAAAGCACATTCACATTGGAGGAAGTACAGTTTTACTTCTGCTTCACTGTAAAACTGTTCTGGCTGTCATTTGTGTATCCAGCGGGCCCACCACCCAGCAGCGGCCCCCTTGAATTCCTCACCTTTGGCACTGAACGCAACTACTCGAGCAGTCTCACCGCCGAGGTCTAGCTGTGTTTTTTAGCCTGGAAGCCAAAGCCTGGATTGGTGGAACGGTGGATGGAAGTGGTGTAGGGACGTGGGGACAAGCTTTCGCGCCTACTTGAGTTGGATGCTGCAGAGGCTGCTTCTGTTGATGATGGTTTGAGACAGGATCCTGAGATGGAGGAGGCCTTGCTGTAGCTTTTTGTGCTTGGCTGAGCAGGGGGTTTGTAACCTGTGTGGGACTGCGGAGATAAGACACTCTCATTCATCTCACAAAAGCGCAACACACCACACTACTGGACAGACAACTGTATGACAACTGCTGGAGAAGGGTTATCTTGGCACCATCTAGTGGCTGTTCAGAGAACAGGCAGGGTTTTTTTTAATCCAATCATAGAGGTTAGCTATGAAATAGCCAGGATTTCTTTCACATACCTTTTAGGAGACAAAATATCTCCTTTTGAATAAGCACAAATGTTTTAGAAAATGAAGTGCAAAGCTCAGTGAAGTGAATGACTGACCTGTGCAGCGGATGTATTCAAAGTGCTGCAGGCCTTTGCAGCAGACGCACTCTTCTTAACACCGTTAGAGGATGAGGCTGATAGTTTTTTCTTCAGAGGCTATAGGAATGAAATATATAATACATGAAAAACCCAGACCTTCAAAGCCTTTCATGCAAGTCAGTGCATATGTCAGCAATATTAGAATTTCTGATCATTCAATTGCAGCTCCGATCTGCATATATCAAACTCCACAAAACTGCTTGCCTACTGTTTGCTATGTTTACAATAAAATAACACGTCAACTCACAAGAAAATCTGACAAAATGAACACCATAAGCTTTGTTTCTTTACCTCAATTCAGGCTAAAAACTGAACTAAAAACTGTTGTCTTGTGAATATTATCTCCGCTAAATGATGTTGTTAGACAAATATTATATATTAGCTGTGATTATTTTCACAATATAGTTGTATTGCTTTAGTGCTTATTGCTTTTCTAAAATGCCCACCACATAATAAAGTTAGTAAGGATTATTTATTTCTTTAAAAACTAATTTTCTTCTCTGCATTTCACATATGCTCTGCCTTTTTTCCTAATGTAGCTTTCTAATAAACCTGGCATTGCATACTATGAATACTGTTCATGGCTAAGTACTAGAAAGCTTATGTTCCTCTTTTGTAAGTTGCTTTGGATATTTAGCATCAGCTAAATGCATAAATGTAAATGTAAGGACACAAACATTCATTAAATATAAATTTTATTAAGTTCTTTAAGTGGCATCCTTTAAAGGGGTCCTATTATGCTCTTTTACAAAGTCTTGATTTTGTTTTGGGGGTGTACTAGAACATACTCTCATACTAGGCTGTTTGAAAAACACATTATTTTTCACATATTTTACATTATTACAACACCTCTCTCCCCAATCTGGCATGAACGGCTCGAATAGTTCCTGTATCAAATGAAGGCACGCCTTCTGAAATACAAAATGTGCTGTGATTGGTTAGCTGGGTCAGTGTGTGTTGTGATTGGTTAGCTGGGCCAGTGTGTGCTGTGATTGGTTAGCTGGGTCAGTGTGTGTTGTGATTGGTTAGCTGGGCCAGTGTGTGTTGTGATTGGTTAGCTGGGTCAGTGTGTGCTGTGATTGGTTAGCTAGGCCAGTGTGTGTTGTGATTGGCAGCACTCAGCGCATGGTCGGGAAATGTCATGCCCTTACCATTGCCGCCTGCCAGCTTCAGTCTAAATATTGCATCAAAATCAAATCAACTTGAGCTCGATTTAAACCCGGATGATTGTAACCACTCTAAGTTCGTCTGCCTTGGGAAAGCTAGCGTGTCTCCGACATAGTGATAACACTCATTGCCTTCTCTAGTGCAGCTCAACCAGGTCTCGTCCCATTCGTCAATATTTGTGATATCACAAATCCCGGAAAAAAATGCCTTGTAGTCCAAACGAGTCGTTCATTGTAGTTTTTTAAAAGTGATTTCTATTAAATAAAATATCTACTTTTGAATTGGACTTTGAGCTTTGTAACTTTGCAGATCTTTTTTATGCTCAAACAGCAACATTACAGACAAACTAAAATAGAAAAAGTGAAAAAGCATAATAGGACTCCTTTAACTAGATACTGTATTGTCTCTAACAAGTAAACAATAACAGAATTCTCTGTGGGTGCAGTGATATACACATTAAATGATGAGCAAATGATTTGCATCACAGCATTTATTATTTTTATAACTAAAAACAGGACTTCCATTCCTATGGCCATGATGAAGGATTGAGATTCTTCCAGACTGCTCTTGAAAGTTTTGGTCTGACATTTGGTCTTTCATAATACAATGAGCAACAGAATGCTTTTCTTAATGCATGATCAAGCAGAAATGCTTCACCTTTGTATTTGAATGAACTGTATTGCGATACTTTTTTACCTTCTTGTTTGGGGTGGAGGGTTTGCTGCTACTGCTACTGTCTATGACGTCCTCAGGAGGTGCTGGGGTTACTGAGAGCTCTTGAGATGTTCTCGGCCCTGACCCTTTGTCCTGAGAGGAAGTGAGAGAGAGGTTTTGCAGTCCCTCACTCATCTCCACACTCTCTTCGTCCTCTGGAGCGTTCCGGAACTGACGCATCATCTCTAAGACGTTTGTACGTGTAACAGTGGTGGAGGTGTCCCCCTTTGAACACAGATTTTTTTCTTTCAGGTCTTTCTTTCTGCCAGGTTCCACATTTAGTCATCCATCAAATTGAAGAGTGCTAATTAGCTGTTTTCCCAATCTATAATATTCATGACCTCATTTTAAAAGGGAAGAGAGTAATTGAGTTCTCTTACCGAAATCCAAGGGTTATCTAGCAGCTCATTGGCTGTGATGCGGTGAGCTGGGTCAACATTCAACAAACACCGTATTACATTTTTGGCTGTAAGACAAAACATAAAATAGTTACCACACTGGTTTAACTGCAATCGTAATGGAGCGGTGTGGGTAACAGAGGCAGTTCTAACCTGCATCACTAATGGTGTGCCACACAGGGCCAGAGAAAATGAGCTCTCCTTTCATAATCATCTCAGAAAGCCTTTCCTTAGAGCTGGAAATGAAAGGAGGCTCTCCACACAGTCTGAAAAAGTATAACAAACACAACACAAGTATACGCACAAAGTTTAAGTCAGCAATGTGAGTCTGTGTGTGGGCATGAGATGGAAAACAACATGAGAGATCTTCTTACAGCATGTACATGATGACGCCAATGCTCCACAAATCACACTGTTGGCTGTACTGGTGACCATTAACCACCTCAGGCGCTGAAAGGGCAAGTCCATGTGTCAATAATGAAAGATGTTTGAGGCTGGTGTAATGTGTGATATCTGATGCGTGACGCCGTTGACAGCTTTCAGCCTCTACTCCTTCTCGAATGTTATCAGCTTCACATCACTTAAATTAGGTCATCTCCTCTTTACTGCTCATTTTAATCAGCGCTTCATTCAATTAATGAACACAGTAATTCATCAAATCACAAGTAAATGGAACATGTGAATGTATGCGTTTGAATATATGAATTACCCATGTAGATAGGTGTCCCGCAGGTGGCCTGCAGCATGTTTTCACTGCCTACACCGCCCTTCTGCACAGAGAGTCCGAAATCTGTGACCTGAGATGAGATAGGACAGGCCTTTGATATGTTATTCAAAATCAAACAATGTTTAACATAAGCACATACAGTACAGGACACACTCAAACGTTTCCTTCTCCTACAGTTTTTCATCATTAGATTCTGATTGTTGAATATAATGAAATACAGACATGCTGCACTGGATCACTGGATCTGTCTCGCTTTCACTTCTAGATCTCAATTAAACTATTTACAGCCCAAACAGACTTCCACAGAGCAGCCGGTACACCCACTCACACTGACTATGCGCTCCTGAGCCGTATGAATAATATATACGAGGAGTGTATATCGTTTCATTGGTGCGTCAGGGGCGGGCAGGATTAATATCCAGGAGAGATGACCACCTTCTGCCAGATAAAAGCTTTTAATACAGTGCCAGGACAGCGCTGTCTTTGGGCCCCTGCTCTACTCTGATTTATAACACAACGCTGCCCTGATTCAACCCTCCGCTCCAGGTAGCGGCTTCAGTCGGCTCCCGTCAATGCTCTATTCTACTCCACGCTGTGCCCCGGCTGGTAATTTGTCTCAGAAAAGCCACTTGTGATTCATTTTCTTTGAGAATGTGATATGAAAGGAGTTAGGCAGGAGGTCTGGTGTAATGAGACAGTATTTAAAAAGCAGTTAAAAGGTTTGGGCAAGGAGGACGGTGGGAGAACTAAACAACAGACGAGAATGTCCAGAGGTCCCGCCGCGTTTGAATGCCATACCACATGCCTGCGAAAGAAGTTTTTACCGTCTCTCTCTCACCTTGATATTGACCATATCGTTATCGTTGCCTTGGTGACAACTCTTCACAAGAATGTTTTCCAGTTTGAGGTCACGATGAACGATGTCTGAGAGAGAGAATGAAGAAACAGAGCAAGGGAGAGATGGGCTCGTATTATTCATAGAGAGGAGATCATGGCAAAAATGCAATGCACTGCAATGGTAATAGTTTTAAATATGCTTTAATGACCAATTCTGGTGAACTTTTTTGCTCTGCTCCTTTTAAATTGGAACTCTTTACTGTCAGTTCTCATATGAACCTAGCATAGAGTATAAGAAGAGAGCCCACCTCTTCTTACCACTTTCAATCTACACATCATGATTCTTCATTACTGCTTCACATGGTAACTGTACGCACTTAAATAGAAATGTGAAAATAATCCAATTATAATCAGCGTGTGAGGCTAATATACTGCAATCTCATAAAACACTCGAGTTCTATATACACATTGCAAGTGGCATCATTAGCTTCTCTAGACGTGAGACACAGCAGCACTCGGGGACTGTTGAAAAACACACCTATTAATCAGTATTCCTCCCCTGCTCGTTGTTAATGACTCATTAGCCCCATGTAATGGTGTCTCATTGCCAAGCAACGTCCTAAATTACCTCTAACTGCAGATTTCACGAGAAGGAGAGAGAAAGAGAAAAAACGCCAAGCATTTTCAAATAAACCCCTTAGACTCAATTAAAATGGGCTGATATTTTGTCTGACAGTTGTTCATTATTATCTCATTATTAAAACAAGCCCGATTCTCAGTAATGACAGAGAAACTTAATGTGGATGCAATCATCAGAGCGATTATCGGATATGAGGGGAACAAAGAATTCCAGGCCGTTGCATGTGACTTAACAAAGATATGAGAAATTTTTTGGGGGTGTTTGGGTTTTGTGTGCGTCACCTTTTTTATGCAAATAAACAATAGCTTCAGATAAGCTTTTGATGATGTGTCTGGTCTCCTCCTCAGTGAAGTGCTTGTTCTTCTGCAGGAGATCCTTTAGATCGCCTCCTTCACAAAGCTCAGTCACGAGGTACATCCTCTGGAGAATGGCACACAAGCACACATACTGTATGTACATTTCTCATTTCTGACATCAAACGAAAAACCACTGTCAAACACAATCCAGCTGCATACGACTGACTGAGTTCACAATAGCACAGCTGAGTGAGCTTTAAAGGAAAGAGGAGTGTGAAACAGAATAGATGTTTTTGCTCTCACCTTTGGTGTTTCAAAGACTTCCTCCAGATGTATAATATGTTCATGTTTCACTTGTTTCATGATGCTCACTTCTCTTTCCAGATGTTTTACACCAGAAGTGCCTGCCTGCATGGATACAAAGCATTTGTGACACTTAACCCATCCTTGACAACCATGGGAGCGGCTCTCCATCAATCACCTCTGTCAACAGGTGAAACATGACGACCAAACACTTACCTTCTCTTTGTTCACCTTCTTAATTGCCCACTTCCTCTGCGTCTCAATGTGAGTGGCTTCACAGACGACGCCAAAGTTGCCTTGACCTAATTTCCTCCCAAAGGAATAGATTTTCTGGGTATCCAAATAAAGAGGCCACATTATGTGAAGTATTACACACACACTCCTCCTATAGTGACAGTAAACAACGCTCCAGCTCTGACTAATGGGGACAGAATGAGGGTGGGTTTGTTTTCCAGCTTCTCTATACTCCATTAAGTTGAGACCTGAATCCTTAAAGTGGAACTTAATTTTCAAGTTTACCAGTCTCTGGAGTTTGGGAGAATATAGTATTTCTAATCAAGTTACAAATGATTAAGTTGCTGCCGCAGTTCATTCAATCTCAGGTCTAATTAACTTGATCATTATCTCTGCGCATGCAAGGCTGAGCACTGCCTGCTGCGGATTTGGCAAAGACAGCAGTCAGAAACCTCTGGAGAGGGTGAGGGCAATCAACAGCATAAAGAGGTGTAATTTCCCTCCAGGCCTGATGAGGGCGCTACCAGATTGGAGGGAGGTCACGTTGGGGCGAGCAAGGCCATGGCTCTGGTGTAAGATCCAAATGGCCTTTTGCCACTAATTTGAAGCCACAGACTTCTGATGGCTACAAAATAATGTCTTCTGTGCAACAAGAACAAAAATTCGAGGGAAAACTGGTTTGGGAATGTGCATGTGGAAATAGGCAAGCACTGCGTGTAGATCCATAAGGACTCTACCTGTATGTCGGATTCATCCTCAATGCGAGTGTGGGGCACCTTCTTCTCTGCACTGTTTGCTCGAGTCCACTGAGAAGCCATTTTCTTTTCTGCTCCAGAAACATTTGTATGTGTCATCTAAGGGTGAGATAAATCAATTTCAAGTAATTTGCAAATATGGAGCACAACATGATCGCAAACATAGAAATCCTCACAAAAAGAGATAACACTGGAAGCTCATTCACTAACCGTGCATGTACCCGAATTTGTGAAGGAAACCTGTGTGCAATAATGATTCATTAATAAATGTATTACGAGTTTAGAAATAACAGAAACCATACAAAAAAAGTCGCCTTAAGTCTTAAAAAATAGAAAAACATAGGTAAAGAATTAAAAAGGACATGTTTACAAAGATGTCTGTACAGTAGAGCTTGTAGGAAAAAACTTTATATGGAGATGGCTTGGGTGTGTAACTCTAGACAAGGACTTCCTTATTTAGAATAATCAACATTACATGCATCAACATTAGAATAGGATAATGGATAAGTTAAAGGACGTGTAAACTTTCCTAAATATAGAAACTTTTCTGTGCATGTTAGTACTTGTATGTAATTAATTATTAGTGAACAATGACCAGTCTCTCAAAAGCTTGTATATTACACAATGAATAGTAAAGTTTTAAATAAGATATCTCATTAAATATTCAGGCAGGAGTAAGTGTCTGCCATCACATTCATGCATCAACATCTAAACCGTAACCCTATATTAGCTAGGCTTCAACTGTCGCTCTCCAATTCACTTCTCACTTTAAAAGAAAGTGTCTAAAGTCTCCACACTAACATTAAGTACAATTTACTCAGCTTCAAACCGTTCTCCAGAGCCAAATTAAATGTAAAGCAATTATGGTGTGATGAGTGGGAGCGGCGAAGTGGATCCGCCACACAGACAAGAGATTAAATATTAATGAGGAAGCAGTGTCTTTAACCTCTCCTCTCTCAGTGGCATTATCAAGTCCCGCTGACAGGTCCTCTCATAACAGCACTGCCTCTCCTATTACTGACCATCTATCTGCTAAACAAAACGATTGTGACACATTCTGGAAACTCTTATGAGCGCAATTAGAGTTACGTGATAAGAATAGCAGAGGTCAAAGTGTAGCACACTGGGGCTCCCTCTAAACAGGTCTATAGGGAAAAATGATGATAGAGACATCTGAACTGAGAAGATGTCACTTTTTGCAGCATTGGCTTCTGCAAATGTAAGAGGATGTGTAAAGGAGACGGTTAAATGTGGCTGAACCTGTGCTTTATTAGTAGAGAGGAATTGTGAAGTCCTCTTGAAAAAAGCTCTTAAACTTCAAAAACTGAGTGGCATTGATGAAAAGGTGCATCAGCATTTCACTGGTTTAAATTGGGTAAAACAACTGCAAAACTCAGATATAGCTTAACTGAGTTAACTATAGCTTAACAACAGCTGGGTGAGCCAAAACCAAAATTGAGCCATAAATGGCATAAAAGCCCAATTTCCAAAGCCCTAAGATCAGAGGGCTGAACAGTATATTGAAAGCACTCTCCTTATACTCAATGCTGAATATTGATTAACATTACAGTTTTTCTTGTGCTGTCGAAAGGATGCTTCTTACTGAGGTCTTGCTGAAAACAAATTAGAATAAATGAAACTCTCATTCTGCAATTTAAACCTGCATACATGCATTTTATTATTATTTGAATGGGACTTTGCCTTGTATCTGATAACATCAGCAACACCACACACCGTGTCAGAGTACATGCATTTCCCACCAGGCCACTTTTCGCGTCTTTGAGCTACGCTTACAGAATTTCATTTTTGCAAGCCAACTACAGAAGCAAAACATCTTTATACAAGCACAAATTTTCAAGGAGCACAAAAGCAAGCACACAGGCAAACATAAACGGCAAGAAGGTAATAAGCCTCACAGACTCTAAGAGAGACATATTTTAGTTCCCTCACAGAATATACCATTAGCTAAGAATCAATCCACAGACCTCCCACATTTCTGGAAGCACTCAAAGGAAAGTAATTATGGCAGATAGAATGTCCGCAATTGATCCTCTTGCATTTTTCATTTCTTGGCCATAACAGTAAAAACCCCATTAGTGCTTGTTTACTGATTGTTTATGGGCTAAAATGTGCATTGTTTCTCCTGACTGTGGGAGATTCTGTGTCCCTGGCTTGAGCCCAAATTAAATGTGACACCCGGTATGATGTCCGAACACACAAAGATATTACAGCTCTCTTCTGCTCTTTTCTCTCTATCATATGCAATTTTCTTCCAACTTCCCTGTCTCTTTCTCCTCTTCTTACTTCCCATTTTGCTAATGTCTGAATTATGGTCTTTCTGAAAATTATTTGGACTTCACTTGAGTCATTCATGTAGTAAGCATTGTAAAATAAATAAATAAATAGATATGTTTGTCTATAAATAATTCTAGGGCTATTAAAAAGGCTTAGTATGATAAAGGACAAAGGATGAAGTTGAGGACAGGAAAAAAAAGAAATGAATACCAATTAAAACAAGATTGGCAAAAAAAAGTGTGTTGTTTACATTTTGAATATTTGTTTGAATTAACAAAAAAAGTATTAAACACCCTGAATATTTCTTAATAAATTGCCTGTTTTTCATAATAGAATGGCATAGGACTACAAGTTATTTTTTTTTAATTCACAATTATTTTTTTAAAACAAAAAAGGTTTAAAAAAAACCCAGTGACCGTAATATTTCATCTAATATATTAAGACACACGTGATGGGGATATGACAATGTACTGCATAACTTGGATGACTTAAATTCTTTATCAATGAATACTTGACCAAGAAGATTATTTGCAGAGGCTTAGCACTTGTAATATGTTATTAAAGCATTCATGAAACATTATTAAACATTTAAGGTATGTGCTAGAAGGATGCCAATAGTTTCAATCACAGATGTGTTGGCTGTTTTTGAAGGTCATTGATTGCTATTTTACATTAAATCTGAGCTACACAAAGCAAACGGAAACCAAACCTTGCATGACGCAGTGGTCTCCTGCTCTACTCTTACTAAAGATTTTACTAGTCTCATCCGCAGCTTAATTATTCATTGACAGGTGCCTTTGATGAAAAATGATAAACGTCAAAGTCTTAATGAAGCTTGGAATTACAATACCAAGTGATAGAGTGCCTTGCTTGTCCAGACTGCTAATACTATTGGAGTCATTTAACCTCATAATCATAATTTACCTGAGTGCTTCACCTCGCCATACTACATAATGTTTTCCTGTTTAACATGAATTGTAGGTCTGTAATGGACTGCCACTTGATAAAGTCCAACAACTCATGAAAATGTTACAGAAGGGGGCATATCTGTAAACCTATCAAATTAATGACTTATTGCATATAAATATGGCTTGTCTTGAAAATCTAAACCAAAACGTCATGACTATTATGTGTTGGAGGAAGTTTGGAGGTACCCCACTCTAAACAAGGATATCAATGGATGGTTGAGAAATCCAGGGTATAGACGATTTCATATTTCAAAGGCAAAATAAAATAGCAAAAAATAAAGTATGCTTGTTAGAAGTCTAGAGGGACAACAAAAGCAAAAATCAGTTTGAACGATGTGATGAGACTGCATGTTAAAAGACTGTGTGGTGTGGTACAAAGTAATAGCAAGAAAACCTCTTTCTATTTACATGTAGTTGTTCTTGTTAAATGAATGCAAATACATACAGCACTACCGGTGTGATCTGATTCACAAACAAATAACTCTCATGAGCCAGTTCTTTAAATGAATCATTCTGATAAATCATTCACAGAATTAACAGACTGAATTCACCAGAATTATTATCAACATTTAACTCAATTACTGAGCATTAAGTTATCATTACTTTCATTTTCATCTCAAAATAAAGCAATTTTATGGTCTTAATGTTTGTGAAACAAAAACTATATCGTTATTGCCTGATTGTTAACATGACAACCTGTTAAAGATAGACATTTGCAGTTTAATTACTTTTTTGCAATAATGATTTTTTAAAAATAAGATGAAAAAGCAGGAGTCATGAGGGAAAAGTCCCCTGTTTCCCAGGAACACTACAGCAAATTTACAGTTAACATACCATTCAACATAGAAATTTGATTCTTTCAACTTCAAGATACTCTTAAAAACTCCTGAATATGAGTAAATATATCTGGGTACTGTACTTTTAACAGGCAGAACCCAGGTGGTCAAGATGGGAAACATCACCTCATCCATAAAAATAATTAAGACCACCACTCCACAGGGCTTTTGCCTCAGCCCTAATTATACTCGTTATTCAACCATTCACTGCATCTCTACACAGTAGAGCACCATCATCAAATTTCCTGAAGACAACACCATTATTGGGTTAATCAGTGATAATGACGAGTACACATACAGGGAACCTCTGCAGGAGAGGATAGTGTTATAACAACAATCTAGCCTTGAATTCCAGCTAAACAAATGTACTTATAGTGGACTTCAGGAAATAGGACAACACATAGCCCAATCTGCATTAATGACTCACCTGTTGCAATCATTAACAATTCTTCAGACTGCAAATATTTGAGGAGCTCACCAGGACACCAAACATTCCACATAAGAAACCGCACATCAAATGGTATCTTTGATGCAGTGCTTAAAGGAACACGCCACTATTTTTGAAAATAGGCTCATTTTCCAACTCCCCTACAGTTAAACAGATGAGTTTTACCATTTTCAAATCCATTCAGCCGATCTCCGGGTCTGGCGGTAGCACTTTTAGCTGCAGCTTAGCATAGATCATTGAATCTGATTAGACCGTTAGCATCTCGCTCAAAAATGACCAAAGAGTTTCGATATTTTTTTTATTTATTATTATTTTTCCTTATCTATTACGCAGCGCCTGAAAATAGTCCCCAGCTAGGTAACTTCCAATAAGCCTATTTTCAGGTGCTGCGTAATATCATTGCACCTGTTGCCCCCATGGTACGTCAGCAAAGTTCCTTGATTATTACGCCGGAATGAGAGTATAGTTCCTAGCCATATCAGCCTAAAAAATTGCACCTTTTCATTTTCTTAGTACACGATGTAACTACAGAAGAGTCAAGTTTTAAATAGG